CCGGCCCTGATGGCCACGGGTTCTGACCCGTGTGCAAAGTTTCAAGAGTTTTAGAGGATGTTAAGGGCCCCAAAAGCCCCCAAAACCTTGATCAACAATAATTAAAAGCTTTGTCACTCAAACAGACACATCCCCCTCCCCCCACAGACACAGAGGTATGCAGAGAGAGGGAGAGAGGGACAGAGATTACTCCAAAACATCCCATTCAAACCAAAATATCTGACTTCCTGTTGTTCGGAACCAAAATCTGTAAATTAGAAAGTTGTCCGGCTTGATCTGAACAATATGCCTACCGAGTTTTAAGATTGCAGGTAAAACTATGAAACTAACCCTCTCACTTTTGTCAAAAGGTGGCGCTACTGAGTCCCTGCACCACGCCCGTTCCTGAAACTTTGCACATGTCTACTGGCTAATATATGTGACATGTCTGTCGAGTTTCATGCAATTTCAAGCATGCTAAGAGTCTCAAAAGCATCAAAAAAGAATTTTAAAGTTTGATGTGTTGCCACGGCAACAGTATCAAAGATATCAAGAATCCATTCACAGGTCTACATCTGGCGTATGTTTACATTATACAGATGAGGTTTGAAGCAAATTGGGTTAAAATAAGAGGGTGATTTCGAAGCATTTTGAAAGTGACACACTTCCTGCTGCCAGTTGGTGGCGCTATAACTTTGACTCACAATAGTCACATCCATGTGATCGGTCTCTTACAGCGAACACACTGCTGAAGTTTCATCAAGATCAGTTAATGTATGCAGAAGTTATAACACACTTCCTGTTTCACGTTTCTCGCCATAATTTCGTTTCCTCGCCACGGCCAAACCGTTCGAGATATCAAAAATCCCCTCGCAATTTTTCATCCTCAATGTCTTGACTTCATGCTGACCGAGTTTCGTGGCATTTCTTTGAATTCTCTAGGAGAAGTACTTTAAATTCCATTGCATGCGTTTTACAAACAACCCTAAATAGCCGACTTCCTGTTGGGCTGGGGTAAAAAGTAAGAGCATGAAGTATATATGAACCGATGAGATCTATATGTGTACCGAGTTTCATATTCTTACATACAAGCGTGTTTGATTTATGGACCAAGTTTTCGGACCCCGTTCCAGGGGGCGCTGTCGAGCCCCCCTGCCACGCCCGGGTACCATCTTCACCCCGACCCTGATGGCCGCGGGTTCTGACCCGCGTGCAAAGTTTCAAGAGTTTTCGTGCACGTTAAGAGCCCCAAAAGTGCCCGAATAGTCGTAAGAAAAATAAAAGAGGAGAAAAAAAAAAATATATATATATATATATATATATATATATATATATATATATATATATATATAAAGCCGGTGGCACCGCCACCCTGGTGCCTTTAGGGTTATTGTGCACGACGTGCAAAAACGTAACCCTGCTTTGACCTTTGAGAAGATGTGTGCTGTAGAGCTTGTATCAGTGTGGGCTCTGCAAAAGTGTGCATTGAGGGCACATATCAACCACAAAGTATGCGAGAGCAACCTTCTGAAAGGTCAGGTCTACATCCAGGTCTACATCTGCCGTGTGTTTACATCATAGTAGTGAAGTTTGAAGCAATCAGGTGATTTCAAAGCTTTTTGAAAGTGACAGACTTCCTGCTGCCAGTTGGTGGCGCTATAACCGGGGTGGCGGTGCCGCCGGCTTTGGCCCTTTCATCGCTGCTCGCAGCTATATTTATATATATACACACACACACACACACACACACACACACACACATTTATATATATATATATATATATATATATATACATAAATATATATATATTGTTTTTTTAAGAGACAAGACAGAATATTACTTGCCTGATCTGATTAGAAAAATAGTGTTTGTGTGTGTGTGTGTGTGTGTGTGTGTGTGTGTGTGTGTGTGTGGCGTAATTGAACAATGTAGACATAAAAACATACTCCGTCCTTTTGTTCATACAGGACATTATTCAAACTGCAAAATGTTTACTTATATTTGTGTACACTTGCAATAAAACACAACATTGTGCTTTTGTCAAGCTATAAACTCTTGTCAAACTGTAAACTACAACTGTCACCCAACCAAAATCTCTTACACACACACACACACACACACACACACAGTTTAAAAGCAAAAAATATCAAACAATCCTATTTAAAAACAGTCTGTGGGAGCCATCTTTTGGACATTCATCATATCGCATTGGTTTTCATTTCTTGTCATCAAACAGAGCCCTAATCTGTTTATTTTTTCAGTTACACATTCTACATTGATTAAAAAAGAAAAATCAAATGTGTTTTTATTTTATACAGAAATAAATAATCTATCATTCAGATGAGAATAAAGTTAGTGTTAGTTCAAATTTTAAGGAAAACAAATATATGATCAGAAATATAGCACATTCATTTAAAATTCATTCAGGTTCAATTACCAAACATACAAATCTCAATGTAATTTAAAGCAAACAATACATTTAAAATATATGGGTTGTATGACTATTTTTTAATATAAAAAGATATATATCCAAAAAGACAAGGCCTAAAGTTTAACAAGGGTTAAACTGTTATCACTGTAACAGACACAATCACACACACAATCACACACACACACACACAAGTCAAATCACTTACATTTTACATGCAATATTGACTTTTTTTCTGTTTCAGCAGCAAAAATAGTTAAACAAAGATCACAGCAGAACCATCGCGCATCTCACAGCAACCCGTTCTCATTACTGAATGATTCAGCATTTTGAACGAATCGGTTGACTCAAAGATTCAATGACCAATCAATCCATAAACATCTATCTCATTCATGAATTACTCAGTCGTTCAAACGAATGAATCAATGACTCGCTCATTAAGACGGTCGCCTGGCGACACCTAATGACGGTTTAGTGTTATGTTTAAAAGTATCATTCTTTCCAACGATTGTTAATTAACTCATATTTGAAACATAAGCTATATTTATATATATACATACATATACACACACATACACAAAAATAAAATAAAAACACATTTGAAATGTGTTTGCTTACTAAATTGTGAGCTGAACGAAAGTTGCAGCAAATATCAGCAACAGGAGTCAAATTTCATTAATCACGAGAGTGAAGAGCTGACTGAAAAGATGATGACGGAATAGGCTATTTTATGTAAAAACGCCTATTTAAGCGAATCTGTCATTGTACTCTTTTATTGTTGTGTTTTCCGTGAAAAATAATAGACTATTGAACTCACAATTCAAGCAATCGGCCCCCGAAATTGCACTAATTTTAGTGACACTAAAAAGTATGCGGCTGCACTGGCATTCATAATGGTGCGCGTCCATGGCGACGAGCGAGCAGAGCTGAGCGAACGTTTAGTTAATTTCTACTTCCATAGGAATTCATTCGAGCGCCACCATTTCAATGTCCGTGCGGACGTCCATATTATACTTTCGCTTTCAAGTTAGTGTTTTTAAACCCCCCAGCGGGAGGTTTACACAATTGGTTTACACAATCACACGTTGATTAACCGGTGGGAAAATATTCCCATAGTAACATCCCTAATATATAAATATATATAAATTCAATAGGCCTACCTGATTTTGAACACAAGAGGGCAGTATAGCACTATATATGATTTGGATTATTATTATTTTTGACTAAACAACCATTCTGGCTGTTTTTAAACTTAAAAATAATTCTTAAATTGAAACAAAGGAATAAAATGGGTTTAGTTCTAATATTTGTATAATTTTATATAAAAATAAATGGTGTATAATTACATTTTAGAAAGATATGAGACATGTCCTGATTCTTTTTTTGACATTACTTGAATCCCTCAACCATAGCAAAACCGTTTGAGATATTCAATATCTGTTCACAATTTAGCATCTTCAATGTATTTTCATCATGTTGAAAAAGTTTGGCATGAATAAAATAAACTACTTAGGAGGAGTAGCTAAAAACTCAGAATCTGAAATCCACATTCAAACCAAAATATCTGACTTCCTGTTGGTCGTAGCTAATTACGGTAAATTAGAAAGTTGTCCGGCTCGAAGAGTACAATATACATATCGAGTTTTGTTACTGTAGATAAAACTAACCCCCCCACTTTTGTCAAAAGCATTTAGAAAGTGACACACTTCCTGCTGCCAGTTGGTGGCGCTATAACTTTGACTCACAATAGTCACATCCATGTGATCGGCCTCTTACAGCGAACACACTGTTGAAGTTTCATCAAGATCAGTTAATGTATGCAGAAGTTATAACACACTTCCTGTTTCCATTATTCGCCAAAAATTCGTTTCCTCGTCACGGCCAAACCGTTCGAGATATCAGAAATCCCCTGGCAATTTTTCATCCTCAATGTCTTGACATCATGCTGACCGAGTTTCCTTGCGATTGGTTGAATTCTCTAGGAGGAGTATATCGAATTCCAGGGGCATACGCTTCCAAACAAACCATAATAGCCGACTTCCTGTTGGGCTGGGGTAAAAAGTAAAAGTACAAAGGATATATGAACCGATGAGATCTATATGTGTACCGAGTTTCATATTATTACATGGAAGCGTGTTTGATTTATGGACCAAGTTTTCGGACCCCGTTCCAGGGGGCGCTGTCGAGCCCCCCTGCCACGCCCGGGTACCAGCTTCAGCCCGGCCCTGATGGCCGCGGGTTCTGACCAGTGTGCAAAGTTTCAAGAGTTTTCGTGCACGTTAAGAGCCCCAAAAGTGCCCGAATAGTCGATAAAATAATAATAATAATAATAATAATCCTAAGGAAAACAATAGGGCCTTCGCCTTTTCAAGGCTTGGGCCCTAATAATCCTAAGGAAAACAATAGGGCCTTCGCCTTTTCAAGGCTTGGGCCCTAATAATAATCCTAAGGAAAACAATAGGGCCTTCGCCTTTTCAAGGCTTGGGCCCTAATAATATACTTTTATAATATGCATTTACCATTGCCATTATTTGTTTGACCTGCAGTCTGTGACCCCATCAGAACGGAGCACATTTTGGGAACCGCTCTCACCTTATATAAACCGATCCAGTCCCAGGCACTGGAGGGAAAGGACTGAAGAAGTCTGTAGGTTATGAGGGCGTCGAAGTCGGCACTCCACTCTCCTTCAGCACAGACCTGCACCAGAGGCGTCTCGTACATCTTTCTCAACTGATAACAGATTAACAAATGGTCATTCTTGTAGTATTTTATTTGAGTTATTGACTAATTGTTTTAGATAAACTCAGTGATTCCCCACCTCCAAGCGGAAGATGCCAATGACAGGCTTATGGTCGCTAACGCCATACTCCATTTTACTCGTGTAATACTCCTGGGTCATTTTCATAGGGAACTCATCGTCATCTTCCCCCTCCAGTTGGTTCTTTGGCTCATCTTCATTGTCTTCTTGAGTGTCCTCCGGAGGCGAGGACTTGGGCTTCACTCGCCAGAGGATCCGGTCACACCACGCAGGCTTGCGTTTCTTACCACTAGCCAATCACAAAGAGAGGGAAACAATATTAAATCAAATATATAATAGAATAAACTTGTGGATTTCAATCCTTTTTCCACATTTGTTCAATTGGAAGAACATTGGCGTATCTTTCTGTACAGCCATCATTCATTTTGTGAAAATGAATTTATGTGGCATGCTTTTATAACTATGCAAGTCATGAGATGAAAGGATTCTATGAAAAATATTTTAACAGCAACAAATAAAAAACAAAAAATAGCATATAGGTTTTATGAAAAAAAACCTTGCAATGTCACGGTTGTTTGAAACAAGATTTATTCCTACAAGTGCTACAAAAAATAAAAATGAATTTGAATAATGTAATATTCTATGATACTACATATTCTAATAAGGTATAAAAAAAACATTTAATAGAAAATAATTCTAATAGCAATTTCTATTAAAGTAGGCTATATACAGTATATATATATATATATATATATGAGTTTTTATATGTATAATTGTGTCTATAAATACAGGCTATATATAGAGTAAGACCCTATATATATATATATATATATATATATATATAAATTTAAATGCTTTTAAAAAAAGCATTTTCACTAAAGTGAGCCGAGTCGTCCACATGCAAAGATCTGAACAGGTACTAGAAATGACAGCATAGAAACATAGATAACATAATAGATAGATATAGATAACTAATACTTAAAAACTCTTTGGAACACACAACACCAAAAGTCCGAACACAGACTGGATGTATATGGATGTTAATAATGGTTTATTTCTGGTGCTTCCATTTCAGCAGTAGATGAATGGGTGTTACAGGACGGGATGGGTGACACAATGCACTGGTCTGCATTAAAGTGTGGATGAGGTCTAGCAGCTCTAGTGCAAAAAAAAAGTATTTCCGCTCTCTGACGGAAATGCTACAATTATGAAAAAATTTAAGGAATGCTGACAGAAGGCTAGACAAGCAGGGGAGGAAGGTTCAAGTTAAGAAGCACATGGGAAATTTAAAGCTTACTTAAAACCAAACCATGTCTTCTGTACCCTGCAGGGGTGAAAAGAGAGCACGTGTGAACATCTGACAGTTAAAAACAGCCCTCGCAGAGGAGCTGAGGGAGATCCAGGATATTGTAGTGATTACCGTTTCCTTCACAGCTATCCAGAAAATGTAAAGTCAACATGAAATCCATTCTAATAATGTTATATAATAATATAATTGATTATTTAATAATCAAAATCTATTACTTAGTAAAACAAAATGAGCAGGACTTTATTTTTTCCTTATAGGACTTTATTTTAATAAGACTAGGAATGTGCATTAAGACATTTTAATTTCATGTTAACCTTAAAAACCAATGACTAACAAAAATAATGACAATAAAAGTACAATGCAATGTCATTCAAATAATAGCGATTAATGATTTAATTCTGTTCTGTTCATGTCACTTGTGTAAGCCTAATTTTCTTTACTTTGAACTGTATAATACCAAATATAATAATATTAGCCCATATGATTTACTTTAATGCTCTGGAAATTAATTATTATATTATATTATATTAAATTAGATTATAATGCAGTCTGATTAAACACACAAGCCTTCATTTCATATAAAGGAAGACCTTCGACTAACTTTGTGTACTTAACAGTGTTTTTTATTTTCTTTATTCTGTACTTTATTCTGTACTTTACTAAACTTCCTTTGCAAAATTTAATTGAAATTTGAACTGCACAATTATTGCTCTTATCTCAAATCATTGTAATTAGACACAATAACCACAATTGTGCAATTAATCAATAATCATGACAGCCCTATACTGCAGGATATATTTAAAGAAGTTGTGTCATTTACCTTGTGTCGTAGTTATCCGAATGCAAATCAAATTTATAGGTGGGCTGAAAGTCCAGAGATCCCTCTTCAAACTTCTGCAAAATTGCTTCCTTCTGTTTCATCATGGTGAGCTGGTGAGATATTGAGATATTGACATGCACAGATAAAAAAAATATTATACAAATTAAGCGAGTTACTAATTCTGGAACTGCAAATAAATGATTCATACATTAATACATTTACATGTATAGACATTGTTCCTACATCTAAAGGAGAGTGTCATATAATTGATGTCACTAATAAAGATTCAAGAGTGATCAGTACCTGATCTTTAGGCCAAAGTAGACTGAAACGCTGGCTGGTGAGGCAGTTCCTTACAAAGAGCATACCATGGTCCTCGATACGAAAATTCAAATCCCCAAACCAGAACACAACCCTAGAGAATGAGGTGAGAGAATTCATATGCAATAAAGTGCAATACATAAATGATAAAGAATCATGACAATCAATAAAATCGATAATAAGAACATAATCAATAAAAGAATATGCAAAATAAGAAGATAAAGCTTAAAGGGATACTCCACTTTTTTTGGAAATAGGCTCATTTTACAACTCCCCCAGAGTTAAACTGTTGAGTTTTACCGTTTTTGAATCCATTCAGCCGATCTCCGGTTCTGACGGTACCACTTTTAGCATAGCTTAGCATACATCATTGAAGTGGACAAGACCATTAGCATTTCTAAAAAAAAAAAAGACCAAAGAGTTTCGATATTTTTCCTATTTGAAACTTGACTCTTCTGTAGTTACATCGTGCACTAAGACCGACGGAAAATGTAAAGTTGCGATTTTCTAGGCTGATATGGCTAGGAACTATACTCTCATTCCTGCGTAATAATCAAGAAACTTTACTGCCGTACCATGAGAGCAGCAGGCGTAATGATATGACGCAGCGCCTGAAAATAGGCCACCTTCGGTCAACACAACGGAACTATTTTCAGGCGCTGCGTCATATCATTACGCCTGCTGCTCTCATGGTACGGCAGTAAAGTTTCTTGATTATTACGCAGGAATGAGAGTATAGTTCCTAGCCATATCAGCCTAGAAAATCGCAACTTTACATTTTCCGTCGGTCTTAGTGCACGATGTAACTACAGAAGAGTCAAGTTTCAAATAGGAAAAATATCGAAACTCTTTGGTCATTTTTTTTTTAGAAATGCTAATGGTCTTGTCCACTTCAATGATCTATGCTAAGCTATGCTAAAAGTGGTACCGGCAGAACCGGAGATCGGCTGAATGGATTCAAAAACGGTAAAACTCAACAGTTTAACTCTGGGGGAGTTGTAAAATGAGCCTATTTCCAAAAAAAGTGGAGTAAATATCATGATGGACTGACTTGTGGTCCAAAATGTGTGGTGTGTTTTTGGTGTCAAAAGTCTGAGCATCCAGGATATACTCGAACTCATCCACCCTCTGAGAGGCGTAGTTCATGTGAGCGGTGAGGTGACAGTTCAGGAAGCAGAGCATGTGACCGTAGAGGGACAGACGGATAGACACGCCTCCTTTATTACCCTTTCATTTGAAGAAAATTAAGATGCAATGTTCAGTAGGTATATCAAGAGCTGCTCGCTGAAGTATTTGCATTTCCATGGTCTTACCCAGTAGCCGTAGAGTCCTGTGCGGGTGTAAGTGACCTGAATGTCTCTGATAAAGGGGACGTGTTCCAGCTTGGAAAAGAAAAGCAAGAGTAGACCCTGCATCCGTATGGAGGACACCTGAATGGGCCACAGTAAAACAGGAAATTAGACAACATAATCATAAAGTGTGCACTATTTTCTGTGCAAAATTCACCCTATGTATATATATATATATATATATATATATATATAGCCTAAATTATACATTTGCAAGAATATTTATTTATTGCATTTTTCTTTTCAAGATTCAAGTTCTGTTCATGTGGGGGTTTCAGTTGTATGGAAAACCAAACGTTTTTTTCAGTTCCATATTTTGGCCAACAGTTAAAAAGAAAAAGAGCAAATATGCACATGAATTAATAGAAATCTAGGCCTATTTGCTCAAAATTTGGCTTTCCTTGACCTCTAATTTCAAGGCCTAATGACCAATTTAATGCATCCTTTGTGGCGCCAGAGAAACCATGAGACGAAATGGGCTGATGGCACAATATGGCTGTGTGCATTGTCCTATTTGCCAAGTTCAAGGGTCTATAAAAACACTGGTGGTAAAAAAAAAAAAAAAAGTGGTCAAAATTTGGCTTTCAATAGGGCAGTACATTATCCTATTTCAAGGCCTTAGGTCTGCTTTAACACATACTCTATGGCGGCCAAGAAACCACACAGTGAAATGGGCTGATGGTGCAATAGGTGGCTCAGTGTGCATTGTCTATGCTAAGTTTAATGGTTTCTCATGCGCACACGAAAGTCTGCATATTTTTTATTTTTGCAAAGATCCTTTTAGTGACTAAAAGGATCGTTGAATGCTAAGAATATCATGAGAAGAAACCCAAAAATGCACCCAAAAACATGCATTTTTGCATAATGAAAAAGTGCTCCTTGAATTATTTCAGTCGTTTTTGACAATTGCTAAACAGCTGCCATGAAAACACACTTGTTGTATGATCAATTTATTTATTAAATTCTTAATTTTCTATTATAGAAAACTAAATAGGGTCAATAGTCTGGAAATGCTAATATTTTTCCATACTCTGCTTTCTTTTTCCATACTTTTCCAAACTGCGTAGGAACCCTGTTATATTCCTGTATACATCCACCTGTGTGCCATTAATGACCACAGGTTGAAGTGCCAGTTAGTGCTGGGCGGTATACCGGTTCATACCGATGTTTATTTTTGTCATGATATGAATTTTTAATATACCGCAATACCAGTGTATGTCGCTTTAACAACGTTGTGAATGCGGCGCGACACTGTTTGAGAGGGTCTTTTCACTGTTGCACTGTGTGTGTTACTAAGCGTGACGGTGAAGATGGATAGGTTATAATTGATAGCCGTCAAATTATATTACAGTGTTTCCCATACATTGGTTCCAAATATCAATACAGCCTTTTGGAAAATCTATTTGTGGTTGGCATTGACATCGTAGAATAAACATGAGCACTGCACGTTTCAAAGTCAAAACGCAGCGGGTGTTTTTATATGAATGTATCTGAAGCGAGCTGATGTTTTTTAGAAAAGTTTCAATGTTATTTCAATTGAATCTCTCTTTATCTTTCCTGATAAAGCAGCGTTTATGAGCGTACAGCCGTTACCGTGGAAACCGCTGTATCTGCCGCTCCTACAGCGCCTCTTTGTAAACACTGCAAACCTGTATTAATACTAGTGTGGATATTTCTACAATATTCACTCATGACAGAAAAATAGGGCATTAAGTCAATCTACAGCAATATTTCCTCTCTCAGTCAGTAGAAAATGTGGTTAACACCCAGTCATGCTTGAAAAAAAATAATACCGTCATATACCGTGAAACCAGTATAATTTTGAAAAATACAGTGATATGGATTTTTGGTCATACCGCCCAGCACTAGTGCCAGTGTTCTACTAAAATTAATTATCATCTATCTATCTAACTCTTTAGTTTTTGACACATTCAGATCTAGTTTCATACTACTACACCAAGAAATAAAATTGTACAAAACCGAACCATGTTCCTGATTTGAATGTGAAGACATTAGGAAAGCAGCACAGAATCATCTGCATATTTTACCAAATAACTATTATCTTATAAACTCTGACAATCATTTGTATATAATATAAACAAAATAGAAGAAAGCACACATCCTTGTGGTGTACATGTAGAAATATTTACTATTTCCGATAAAACTCCATTAACCCTAACCCTCTGTTGCCTGTCTGTTAAAAAAATAATGATCCATGAGACTAAACAATGATTAAAATGAATCTGATTGACAAGTTTTTGTCCTAAAATAACAGGTTGCAGAAAATTAAATGCAGACGAGAAGTCCACAAACAAAAGCCCCACTATTTTCCAGATGACAACAAAGAGCATTTACCAAAAACAATTTTGCATCATTTACGCCTCTCCCAGCGCGATATGCAAACTGCAACGGATCTAAGACTGGTCCAGCAACTGTCATTATATACTTCTTGATCTTTTTTCAAAAGCCTTCATAACTAAAGAGGTCAATAATTGAACTTTTCCACAAATCAGGTACTAACCCTTGATCTAAGGAATACTGAATTATATGAATTATAATCTGATTTATATTTAATATATAAATGGTTAATTGTAGCTATTAATAATTTGTATTCATTTATTATAAATTCATGATAATTATATAATTCAATATATAATTAAAGTTTGTGTATGTGTGTGTGTAAATATATATAAATTATAATATAATTTATATTAAATATATAAATAAAAATGTATTTGTAGATAAAAATTATATTTATTAATTTTTAAATTCATTATAATAGTAATTATATAATTCAATATATAATTAAAGTGTGAGTGAATTATAGTTAAGTGAGTGAGTTATATGAATTATAATATGATTTATATTAAATATATAAATAAATAAATCGTTTTAAATGTAAATATTGTAATTATCATAAAATATAATGTGTGTGTGTGTATATATATATCTTTATCATGAATTTATAATCAATTAATACATGTGTGTTTGTAAACATACTTCATCATTAAACCACCTAAAATTTCCCATGCATGTCTACCTGTCTGTATATGTGTGTGTGTGTGTGTGTGTGTGCTCAATGACTAAGAAACCAATCATCCACTGGTTCATAGTGAATCACATGATTAGCATATGAACAAAAGCATGTTAGTATGAGGCGGACAGAATAAGCACCTTGATATAACCCAAAGGGGCCAGAGTGCTCATGAAGAGCTGACTCCAGGAGTCCTCGAAGGCCAGATCTGTGACAAACTTGAGAGGTGCAGCCTTCACTTCCTGCAGACTGAACAAGAGCAGCATCACAGACATTAGGACATTCAGACCACATACTTCTGAGGTCAGATACCTATAACTGTTTACTTTATGTGGGTCCGTAGACCTCAAGATATAAAGACTCACCCGATCACATAGAGGTCGGGTTTCTTCGGGGAGCTGAGCTGAAGCAGAGAGTTCACATCTTCAGGAGGCTCAGCTGTGCCCACATTCCACGTGACGACATACAGCCTGTGGGTTTAAGAAAGAAAGATGTATTCAGTTCAATAAAATAATAATTCATTCCTTCTGCTTGTGTAATCCATTTGGAATGGACCTCCAAGTAAATCTCCATGTTTTCCTCACATAACTGCTCAGAGAACAATCACACCATTTCAACTAATTGGTCCGAGCACTTTTAAGCATAGCAAATTGCGGATTAACATCTTAAACAGCTCAATCCGTTAAACCATTTTTAAGAACTACAGACTGAAATCTAAAGTTCAAAATATCTCCTCCCTGAAGATCACTGACGAAACAAGATACTCTCTGGAAAAACAGAGACGAGGTGTTCAGTTGCCACAAAACCAAACTAGAAACCAGCAGTCAGGTTTAGATCTGCCAGACACGACAACAAGAGAAGTGAAAGACAAAACCTGAACTGGTCTTTCTTAGGTCGGCCCGCAATCCGAGAAAAGCCCCATCTAACGTTTTAACCACCTTGCGTGTGCAGTTTATCGTCGGGGTGCAGATCATCCACGCAGGTCATGAGCATGGTCACGCTGTCAGAGCGCACTCGCAGCTTCTCGTTCAAATAATCAGCTATTTCCTCCATGCTGGTCGCGTGAAAATAGCCCTCAATTGTCTTGTTAGGTATTTCGTCTTGAGCGCCAGGGAAGCAAAGGCAGTTATTCCAGAAATTATTAATACAGTAAAGTGTGTGATATAGGCTGTAGGGGGGGGGGGGGTGGGGGTGGGGGGGGTGGAAGCGTAGGCGGATTTTTAGATTAAAATCCTAATCTGGTTTATCAAGGGCTTACATGGCCCACCTCAACACATTCAATTTAAACAAGAGGAAAACTCAATGCTGCATTTACCCAATGGATGTATTGTTGCAACTGAACTGCATCTGAAACCTCCCACATGAACAGAAAACTTGACTCTTTGCAGTGTTTCGTCAGCAGAACAATCCAAAAACACATTAAATAACAGTACAACCCATTGAAGGGATGCATGTCTATTCCTCACAACCTCAAAGATGGTGCTAAAGTGAAAGATGGAATACCGGCTCTTAATTATACAGTATACAATTAAGTTTACAGAGTGCTTGACTCTTGCAGTCAATACAAAATTTGTGACCAAAAATCGATGCAACTCTTGATGGAAATAAATGTTGTGATGTTATTTCCATCTAGAGGTGCATCAATTTTTGGTCAAGATTTTGTATTGACAATGCAAGAGTCCAGAACTCTGTAAAGTCTCCTCCAGCACATCCCAAAGACTTTCAATGAATTTAAGGTCTGGACTCAGAGGTGCAGATTCATGTGTGAAAATGATTCTTCATGCTCCCTCCCAACCATTCTTTCACAGTTTGAGCAAGATGAATCTTGACATTGTCATCCTGGAATATGGCCATGATGTGTCATGGTTGTTTTAGAAATGAAAAGTTACACCCTCCATCAATTAGGGTTAGAAGAACTGTTGCCAAACATATAACATCCTAGAAACACAATAATCACTTCAAAAATAATTTATAAGAGTCATAGACCCTTAAGCATTTGCATATTTAAATCCGAACCTAGTGGCCAAATTATAGAACTGTAAAACGATTTGGTTTTCCAATAACAACTGAAACCTACGGAGCCCGGGAAGTCACCTGTGGGGAAAAAAAAAACAATCCGAGGCGACGGTTTTGCAATCCGTCCCCTCAGTTTATAAACTGTACTCACGAATTCTTAAACTGTTCCCTCGGTTTAACAATTCGTGCCCACGGATTAATAAACCGTACCCACGAGTTCCTAATCCGTGCTCTCAGATTTGTAAACCGTGCCCTCAGTTTTTGCAATCTGTACCCACAAATTCATAAACCGTGCCCACGCTTTCGCAATCCGTACTCGCGGGTTTGTAATCCGTACTCACGGGTTTGTGGCTCGTCCCCCAGAGTGTGCCGCGTGATTCAACCAGGCCTCCTGTTTAGATGCGGGATGCATTGTTTTTAAAAGGACTTCACATACAAAAAAAAAAATTATATATATATATATATATATATATATATATATATATATATATATAACACAAACACAAAGTTATAGGCCTATAAAAATAAAACATTCATAAATTGTTTTATGATTAACATATTCCTGTCTTAAGTGAACTCATTTAAAGTTATAAACGCAAATAATAGGCCTAATAATAATAATTAGGCTATTATTATTACATTTAGGCTACATATTTAGATATAAGACGCTTTTATCAAAAAAAGAAACAAAGCAATTCGTCAAATGTCAGTCATAATACAGGTTAGACAATAATACAGGGCTGAGATTATCACAAATAAACACAAGATTTTGACGCATATCCAAGTGTTTGTGCACAAAAAATAAATACCATTGACTTTTTGCCTTTATTAAACATTTAAAATTTTCGCAAATTAATATGAAAAAAAAAAATAGATTTTACTTTCTAAAAACTATATTTTGCCCGCAGTGCTAAATGAGAAGAGCATGTCTCTGGAACCATAAAGAGAGATGATTTATAGGTGATTTATAGGCTAATCATAATAAATGTTTCTGAAAAATAACGATGGATTTTTATTGTTTAAATGAACAGTTTTCTAGTGACGGGCTAAACATATCTCCATCTCCGCTGTAAAGGATGCACCTTTAGAGAAATGCAGCTTTCGGATTGTATAATCAGACGGTATTTGCTTTCGATTCGAATTTGTTCGTTTAAAAGTGGACATTTCAAGCTTTAGATAGGCTTTTGTTTCAGTTCATTTATGAGACGCGCTCCGGAGATCATGAAAGCGCGCCTGATTGTTTTATTTTATTTTACAAATACACAACGTTTTCTTGTTATTGTGAGTTTACACAAATAAAAGTAGTTGCAAATAATGTATTATGTATAATGTATTTTTTTCTGTATGACCAGAAATGCTAGATTATTTTAAATTGTTCCACTGTTGATAGGAACATCATATGCAAGCGTTTGCGGCCGCGGCTCAGTGCGCGCTCCACACAAACACTTGGATATGCGTTAAAAACCTGTGTTTGTTTGTTATAATCTTAGCCCATTATTATTGTCTAAGACTGACATTTGACGAATTGCTTTGTTCTTTTTTTTTTTTTTTTTTTTTGTGGATAAAAGCGTCTTCTAAATAGGCCTATGTAGCCTAAATGGATTTTGATAGCTAATTATTATTTGCGTTTATTACTATGAATGAGTTCACCGAAGACAGTAATATGTTTAGCCTAACATAAAATAATTTATAACTTATAACCAAATCTTTTACAGTTTTTGAACTGTGTTATTAGGGCCCGAGCACCGATGGTGAGAGGACCCTATTGTTTTTGCTCTGTTTATTAGGGCCCGAGCACCGATGGTGAGAGGATCCTATTGTTTTTGCTCTGTTTATTAGGGCCCGAGCACCGATGGTGAGAGGACCCTATTGTTTTTGCTCCGTTTATTATTATTAGGGCCCGAGCACCGATGGTGAGAGGACCCTATTGTTTTTGCTCCGTTTATTATTATTCCGCTTCTTCTTCTTCTTCTCTTAAAAGAATCGCTTTTTAGAGGGCCTAAACATGCTCAAAAACTCATGAAACTTTGCACACGCTTCAGAAGTGGTGAAAATTTACGTGTGATATGCTTTTCAAAATTGGGTGGGGCAAATTCGGTAAATTATTGCCCCCAGATTTTGCCCCGGCTCTACGTTTCACGTACAGGTATGAAATTTGGTACATACATGTAATGACCCAATACCTACAAAAAAGTCTCTTGGAGCATAGCCCTAAACACAACAGGAAGTGAGCTATTTTGAACTTCCTCCTAGATTTTGTGCATTTTTCGTAATTTCCTGATGTTGTACTTTAACGAACTCCTCCTAGAGATTAAATCAGATCCACATAATATTTTGTCAGTCTAATCTTAAGGCCTTTGCGACGTTAAATTGCGAAGATCTAGAGTTTTCGTCGAAGGATGTGACCTCGGCGGCCTGACAAAAATGTAGATGTGCAAATCCAATTTCAGCCTCTGGGTGAAATATGCATCATCAGATAACTTCTGTGTAAATGATGCAGTTCCGATGTTGCTAGGCAACCACAGACAGCCTGCAGTAACTCAGGCATACAATGTCCGATCTGCCCCAAACTTCACATGTGTGATAAGAGTCCTGTCCTGAACACATGACCATCCTCATATTAGATTATTGTAATAGCGCCACCTGCTGGTAGCAGGAAGTGTGATAAAAATAAATGACTTTGACATAGTCCTCCGGCTTAAACATGCTCGAAAACTAATGAAACTTTGCACACACTTCAGAAGTGGTGAAAATGTACATGTGATGTGGGTTTCAGAATTGGGTGGGGCAAATTACTTTAACATATTCCCCCTATATTTACATACTGCCCACCGTGCTCTGTCTTCCTAAAACGGCCGGGTGGCGGCGGCACGGGTGCGAGGGCCCTTTCATCGCTGCTTGCAGCTTTAATTCCGCTTCTTCTTCTTCTTCTCCTAAATTAATTGCATTTTTGAGGGCCTAAACATGCTCGAAAACTCATGAAACTTTGCACACGCTTCAGAAGTGGTGAAAATTTACGTGTGATGTGGTTTTCAAAATTGGGTGGGGCAAATTCGGTAAATTATTGCCCCCAAATTTTGCCCCGGCTCTACGTTTCACGTACAGGTATGAAATTTGGTACATACATGTAATGACCCAATACCTACAAAAAAGTCTCTTGGAGCATAGCCCTAAACACAACAGGAAGTGAGCTATTTTGAACTTCCTCCTAGATTTTGTGCATTTTTCGTAATTTCCTGATGTTGTACTTTAACGAACTCCTCCTAGAGATTAAATCAGATCCACATCATATTTTGTCAGTCTAATCTTAAGGCCTTTGCGACGTTAAATTGCGAAGATCTAGAGTTTTCGTCGAAAGATGTGACCTCGGCGGCCTGACAAATGTAGATGTGCAAAACTCAATTTCAGCCTCTGGGTGAAATATGCATCATCAGATCATTTCTGTGTGTCTATGTTGCTTGGAGTTCCGATGTTGCTAGGCGACCACAGACAGCCTGCAGTAACTCAGCCATACAATGTCCGATCTGCCCCAAACTTCACATGTTTGATAAGAGTCCTGTCCTGAACACATGACCATGCTCATATTGGGTTATAGTAATAGCGCCACCTGCTGGTAGCAGGAAGTGTGGCAAATACAAATTACTTTAACATAGTATGTGGCAAATACAAATTACTTTAACATAGTCCTCTTATTTTTACGCACTGCCCACCGTGCTCTGTTTTCCTAAAGCCGCTGGGGTGGCGGCGGCACGGGTGCGAGGGCCCTGTTCATCGCTGCTTGCAGCTTTAATTATTATTATTATTATTATTATTTTCGCTTACTATAGGCCTACTGAGCTTTTTCCTCTAAAAAAATGGACTTTAAAGATAAAAGTAGCCTAAATGTAGTTTTTTTTTAGAAAATGCAAGAAATTATCCATTTAAAAAAAGGGGTTTAAAAACAATGCAATGCATCCCGCATCTAAACAGGAGGCCTGGTTGAATCACGCGGCACACTCTGGGGGACGAGCCACAAACCCGTGAGTACGGATTACAAACCCGTGAGTACGGATTACAAACCCGCGAGTACGGATTGCGAAAGCGTGGGCACGGTTTATGAATTTGTGGGTACAGATTGCAAAAACTGAGGGCACGGTTTACAAATCTGAGAGCACGGATTAGGAACTCGTGGGTACGGTTTATTAATCCGTGGGCACGAATTGTTAAACCGAGGGAACAGTTTAAGAATTCGTGAGTACAGTTTATAAACTGAGGGGACGGATTGCAAAACCGTCGCCTCGGATTGTTTTTTTTTTCCCCCACAGGTAAGGCTTCATTATACTTCTGCGTCAACTCCACGGCGTAGCTACGCCGTCACTCCTACGGCGTCGTGGCCGTTTTATGGTTCTGCGTCAGGTTGCGTTGCATCGCGGTGCATTTCAACGCCAGAACGCTAGGGTGGTGTGTGCTTTGCGAATCTCTTTGCTAGTTTGTTTTGGTTCCGTGCGCCGGTTCCGCTTTCGTTTCCATTACCCTTCAAATTGCGCGAATTGAAATTGCGAATTGAAAATACGCATTTCGCAAAAACTCCCGTTTATCGCAAAAAAAGATTTTACACTCGCATGAGGAGGTTTTTCAGGCAATTTGAAAAAGGAATATTTTGTATATTTGAATATAATATTTGGAAACAGGTTTTGCGCATTTACAGTCACCTGCCTTAGAAGACGCGGTGTGTTTGGGGTCCGTGTCCGCAAATAATAATAATAATCATTATTATAACATTTATTAGGCTACATATGTAGAAGACGCTTTTATCCAAAAAAGGAACAAAGCAATTCGTCACATCTCATTCAAAATACAGGTTGGACAATAATAATAGGCAGGGCTAAGATTATCACAAATAAACACAAGCTTTTGACGCATATCCAAGTGTGTGTGCAGAGTGCGGAGCGCGCACTGGATGGCAGGGAGGCTCGGGCGCGAACACTTGCGTTTTCCTATCAACGGTGGAAACTACTTAAAATACTCAATCATTTCTGGTCATACAGAAAATAATAATACATTATTCGCAACTTCTTTTATTTGCGTAAACTCACAATAACAACAAAACGTTTTGCTTTTGTAAAATAAAATAAAACAATCAGGCGCGCTTTCATGGTCTCCGTGAACTGAAGCGCGAGAACTGAAACAAAAATAGCCTATGTAGGCTATTGAAATGTCCACTTTAAAACGAACAAATTCGAATCGAAAGCTAATACCTTCTGATTATGTAATCCGTATGAAAGGTGCATTTCTCTCTAAAGGTGCATCCGGAGATGGAGATATGTTTTTAGCCGACATTGATTTAGAAAACAATAGTTTATTGATAAACAATTAAAATGTCTCGTTATTTTTTCAGAAACATTTATTATAACCTATATCTCACCTATAAATCACCTTTCTGTAGGCTCTGTGGTTATGGCTCTTCTCATTCAGCACTCCGGGAAAAAGATTATTTCCAGGTTCTAATTTGGCCTTAGAAAACCAGTAAAATCTACATTTTTTCTATATTAATTTGTGAATATTTTAAATGTTTAATAAAGGGGCAAAAAAATCATAAACAATTAGGCCTATCTGAAAATTCGTTGATATATTTTTTTTTTCAGCATTTGGTGTACAGTTCAAATTTAAATTTTGGTGTTCAACTTTGCGTTTCAAAAATACAACAACCGTTCATTTTTCGTTTTGCAATTACGGGTTAAATAAGGTAAAACGAATGGATTCATAAAATTCATAAAAGAAACAATAATTACAGGAATAGCCTACTGGACTCTAAACCTCAAAGAAATGCCACAATCAAGACCTCGGAGCTGAAATGAGGGAGAACTCCGTGTCTTTCCCTGCCATTAATTAATGCCATTAATGCGTCTCCTATTAATAATAAAAATGTCTAGTGCGGTGGCTACCAACGTCCGTTGCTATGATTTTTGGAATGATTATGGAAAAAAAGACGTTTAGTCGCATAACATCGGTCATTCGGCAATAGTTTTTTTATCGACATTTAGAAAAAAAGGCAAAAGTTTTGCCCAAATCTGTCATGGAAACGCGCGTAATGGCGAGCGAAAGAGAGAGAATGTTGTTGCAGCTGGAACTTATCGACGTTGAACAACAAATTATTTTATTGCAAATGTTTAATCGCAGAAGTGATTTAATCGTTCCTCAACGTGATACATCGTTGAAACAAACTGCGCACTTTAAAAATGGCGGTATAGCGGGAGGGGGAAACCGGAAAAGCTACACTCCCGAAATGATGTATAATCTGACCAATCACAGCCCTTGCGGTCTGCGTCGCCTCGACGCGTAGTTACAATTTTTTGGAGGTGCACGTCGAGCTACGGCGGAGGGGTCGGAGAGGGGTTCGCGGCGACGCAGAGGGCTCTGCGGGGGTACGCCGTCGATTCGACGCAGAAGCATAAAACAGGCTGTAGGGTTGCCAACCGTTCAGTATAATACGGAATCGTTCCGTATTTGACATATAAAAGGCTTGTTCCGTATTGAACTGATACGGAACGCACTTTGTTCCGTATTTTTGAGAATCAATTCAGTGCAAATCCATGACAGACGCATAGCTTCTAATATATATGTTAGACAGACTATGATGAATGAACGAACTAAGACCCGCTGCTATAATGGCAAATTCGGGGACTTAGCGCCACCTTGACGGGCTCGCACGCACGTCAGAGGCGCCCACGCCATTGGATGTGCAGTTGCCGCAGCGCAGCCTGAGCGAGCCAGACGCTCAATGTGCAAGCTGTGCAGTTGCAAATGCATTTTACAGGCTTCAGTAAATCGAGTAAAATGTGTTTCCGAAGACAATTGTAGGCTATGATAAGAAAAACTACTAAAAAACATTTAAAAAAAAATTTTGCACCGGAAAGAACATTCTAGAAGTCTAATTCTATTGAATAAGTTTGCACAAGGCTACAGAAAACTGTTGTTTATTTTTATTCAAATGCAGTCTAAGCCGATGAGTTTTGAATGTTATATGTTGTATTTGTTTAAGTTAAAAATAAAGCGTATTATAATCTAAACAAATAAATGGTTCATTTTTGGCAAAATGATCATGATAGCTTTTATATATCTGTGTGGTTAAGTCTTGTATATTGATTAAGCCTACTTTGCTATTCTATAAATATATAGGCCTAATAAGTTGCATTATAATAGGATATAAAATGTATGAATTTCAGGGGGCATGTCACTACCACATGTCTCCCCCCAGCCCCCCCCCCCCCCCCCCCTTCCTTATTTCCATTTCAGAAAGTTGGCAACCCTACCCACAGGTGACTTCCCGGGCTCCGTAGAAACCCCCACATGTAAGTGTGTTGAGAAAGCTAATCCAAGAGTGCTTATCCCTGCTTTATTCTTTCACCATTTCAGTAAACAAGAGGCTAAACTGTTCACCTTGTCTAAGAATTCTGGATGTTGAAACATAAAAAGCGATTGAGGTCTTTAATCGACAATCTTGTGACAAAATTTCATCATCTAAACTGATTACTACCTGTTTGTGCTGCTCCATGAGAAGAAACTCTAAATTGATCATTGTTTACCAATATCCGTGCATTCACATAATGAGAATATATGATGAAAGTATAATTTTGTGGCTTAGTGCTAAAAGATTTTGATGGAAATCCAAATGTTATAGATATAAACTCCAGATGGGGTGATTCTTGATCACTGTATCTCCTTGAACCACTTATAATGGGAAAATACAATATCAATAACTTTTGATAAGAGAGCATATGCTAAATGAAAAATAAGAATATTTACCCAAAATTGTCCATTTTACTGTCTTTAGGCTCCAGGGTGACAGAATTCAAAGCACGTGACAAATCTTCCTCCATCTTCGCCAACCTGTCAGTCGTAAGAACACGTTATCTCATTAACCTGTTCTGCATCTCATGTGCATCAAAATGCATCGTAAGATAATATTTCCGTTAGAATATTGTGAAGTCAAGAGTATGACGTCAGGATTATAACAATGTCAAATTTTGCATGCAATAATCTGAAATAAAAGTACAGATTCACTTCTTATATCAATTTACATACTGAAATGTCTAAAATAATGCAACATAATGACAAAATCAAACGTAAATACGTTTAAAACAGTATTCAAACTACCTCGTACAAACTTCGTTTGTCTTCGCTTCCGCAGTCTCAAAGCCTCTGTGGTGTTCAACAATTAGTCGAGACAAAAATATACTGTAACATCACGAACTGTGCACTGTATTTACATGAGAGATGGTGTGTGAAACTGCACACAACATAACTCAGCCGTACATGGCTGCTGGAAAGTTAAAATAAAAGTCCCGAAGAGGCACCACACACGTGAGGTATTAAAGGTAATAAAATAGGCCTATTCTTTTCATTCATCAAATTTAAATATATTATACTGTGCATTTAACCGGTTAACTTTTAAATTATGTAAATTTAACATGCAATATTTAGCATGAAATTGTTGTACTCCACAGAAAATAACACAACTTGTGTTTCGTGATCAACTAATAGTTTTTTGAATATATTTATTAAATGAAAAAAATAATTTTATAAATAAAATACAGTGAACAATAAACATGCTTCATGCATGCATTTCAAAAAATAAAATTCTAATGAAAAAATATTTTCATGTAAGGAGCCAACTGTAAAATGACTGTTACTTTTATGAAAAACGACAGTGCATTTGTTGTCCCTTCAAGAACAATTGTAAGATACAACTGATCACAACATTTTTGTTTAAATAATTTAAATTTTGTTTAACTTTTTGTACTTAATAATAGTCCTAATTGTGGGTTATTATTTTGTGGGGGGGTTTTTGTGAGATATATTTTTTATAAAAATAAACTAATATTAAAATACTATTAAACCAAATTTTAAACTAAGTAAATGTTAAACTTTAAAGTGGGTCCTCCCGGGGACCCCCAGGGGGTGCAAGGGAGTGTTAGGGGGTCAATGGAAATGTTTATTTTTTTCGGACATCTTGGATGAAAGAACATCCCCAACTTAACCAATGACAAAGCTTCTCCTCTTCCCAGCCATTCAGTCAGTATAGCACGAACATCCAGCTAGGTTCTTCAACGATAATCCATGAGTTCAGCCAGGAATCTTGGGCTAATCTTTGATGGTCAGCTGACCTTTAAGGATCACATTACAAAAACAGCATGATAATGCAGGTTTGCTTTGCACAACATGAAGATCAGGCCCTTCCTACAGAGCATGCAACACTTCCAGGCCCTTGTCATTTCTAAGCTGGACTATTGCAATGCTCTTCTGGCTGGACTTCCAACATGTGCAATCAAACCACTGCAAATGATTCAAAATGCAGTGGCACGTCTTGTCTCAATGAGCCCAAGAGAGCCCATGTCACTCCTCTGATTATCTCTCTGCACTGGCTTCAGGTTGCGGCTTGGCAGGGCTTGCATCAAGTTCAAGACTTGAAGTTTCCCTTAGGGGACAATAAACTGAAACTGAAATGAAGACATCGGTGCTTGCAGCCACGGGCTCTGCACCCACTACCTCCACTCTCTCATACGAATCTACATCCCTCCAGAAGCCTGCGATCGGTAAGTGAGCGGTGGCTCGTGCTTCCAGCCCAGATAGGCATCACTCTCAAGGACGTTTTTTATTTACCGTTCCTTGCTGGTGGAATACCCAACCCCATTCCGATAGGGTGAACACGATTTCACCAAGTACAGCATGTTCCTGGATTAACATCTTTGTTGATCCTGGAACAACATTCCAATCAACCAATCAGATTTAAGAGACAAGTTTATTATGTCAAGTTTAGGCTTACAACCAGGGTTAGGAGCTCTACATTAGTGTCATTTCCATCTGATTTTAAGGAAAAGTTGGTTTAGAGGTACTGATAGGGTTAGGACTTCATTTTTGGACAGGAATGTTGACAAAATATGTTGATCCAGGAACATGTCTTGCATGGCAAAGTCACAGCGACCCTCATTATTCTTTAATCCCTTCTTGTTCCATCTTATTTTGAACAATGACTGGCACTTTGTATTACTGGCACTTTTTGTGTTTATTGCTTTTTGATGACGAATCGCTTGTCGTATTCCTCAACTGGAAGTCGCTTTGGATAGAAGCGTCTAGTAAATGAATAAATGTAAATGTAAAGCAAACAGTTTATTCCAGTAAATGGCACAAGTTATTCAGTACTGGCAGCTGCTCTCCTGAGTCCTGACATCGTCTTCTTCATATACTGTATCTTCACGGCAGATGTGGGTCATGATACACACATGATAAACCTGGGAATTTCCCCATGGCCTCATTCTGACATGATTCACACTCATTCAGCATATTTGAATTGATATTTTTGCTCCTGTTCCCTTTTCAACAGTTTAAAAGGATGTCATCATTTTCATGGCTAATTTTGAAAAGCGTATTAATTCATAAACATCATGTCATTTACAACCACAGTTTTTAAGAATAGAGGACACCATGATGCATTCTTTAACAATAAGTATTGAGAGGACAGGTTAATTTAAACCTTTTTCAACTTGTGACATGAGGGTATTTCCACTGACTAAAGGATCTGATCTCAGCTCCTGGATTTGATTGGTGCCCATCATCTACATCTGAGAAAAGTGTAGGAGTTCATTGCATCTCCCTTGTTGAAATGTGGAAAAGCCTGTAGGTTTTGGCCCCAGGTTATGAATTACATCCATCACATTTCGTGCTGTTTCCTTAGTCAGTGTTTTTATTGTACATGTCTCTGCTTGCTTCTTTCTAGATGAGATTTTGATTCAGTTATGGCACTGAAATAACCTTAAAATCAATATATTATTTTGTGATTTGTAATCAAGCCAGAAATATGATTTTAGGACTAAATCAACCTGACAACAGTTGGCTACACCAATAAAAAAACAACACATTTTTTAATTTAGAAATAAATATCTAATGGCCAAATCAGGTAGTTATATTATTTATCATCACAACATCATCATATTTAAGGATTTAATTGGTCAGCTTGTACTTGCGTTTACACACACACACACACACACACACACACATATATATATATATATGTATATATGTATATATACACAGTATATATATATATATATACAATTATTTAAATAATAATAATAATTGCAGAGTATTTGAGACATCATGGTCTTCTAAAAGATTTAATTGCTCATTTTGAAGAAAATCACAAACAATATATCTGGACAAATGGTTTCACTAAAATTGTATGTTTCCACTGTTGCCCAAGATATTGTTCTCTCGCGGAACTGGCAGACAAAACATCAGATGATAAAATGCCCACAGTGCTCATTTTTACATACCGGCCTAATCATCGCGAAAACTGCATGAAGTATATTGTGCTGTTAAACTGTTTTCTGCGCATCATTATGTCTCAAGTAGTGCTTTTGAGAAGCGATTTTCTTAACAAACCTCGAGTAAAATCAGTGTTATTAGAAACACTTGTCTGCTTAATAATGTGTTTACAGAGGTGTGGAGTTGCAAAGTCACATTTCAAGAATTCTGTCACTCCATTATACTGCGTTATATGGGAGACAGCTGCCATTAACAGGACATGCCTACACTTGCGGCCCTGGAAATATTTTGCTCTTTGAAACTTTGGACTTAATGATAATAAAATCTTAATGCTATTTTTTTTCTTAAAAGAAAATTAGAGACAAACAAATGGAAATATGAAAAAAATAGTCAATCTATTATTAACAGTCATTCACAACAGTTTCTTAGCTTAATGGGTTCAACCAACATATTGAGTGTTTTTCATGTGATGATGCTGCAAAGCTGGAAAAAAAGCCCCTATAACAGCTGTGCAAAACATGCAGAGCATTTTGTTTTTTTCAGTTTGGGGTCAGTATGATTTTTTTAATGTTTTAGAAAGAAGTCTCTTATGCTCACCAAGTCAACATTTATTTGATAATATATACAATACAAACAGTGAAGTATTATAACAATTTAAAATAGCTGTTTTCTATTTGAATATATTTTGAAATGTCATTTATTGCTATGTTGGCAAAGCTGAATTTTCAGCATCATAACTCCAGTCTTCAGTGTCACATGATCCTTCAGAAATCATTCTTATATGATGATTTGATGCTCAAGAAACAATTATTAGTTGTCAATGTTATGCTGCTTAATACACTGTAAAAAAAACTTATGATCAATAAGTTATGACATGTTTTTACATTGCTTTAACTCATCAAAATAAGTTAAGCAATTTTCAACCTTTTTTTTTACAAGTTATACAAGATTAAACCATTTTTTTAATTGTAATTCAAGTTGAATTGACTTAAACATCCAAGTTTATTGTACTTACAAATGTAAGGCAGCAACTTTGAATATATATTTTTTTACAGTGTATACTTTTGTGGTAAACTGATATATTTTGTTCTTTGATGGATATAAGATCAGTATTTATTTAGAAAAATAAATATTTTGGAATTTTATCCATGTCTTTAATGTCGCTTTTGATTAATTTAATTTATTGGGAATTGTGTAGTGAAAGATGTTGACTACATCCATTGGTGTCTTTAGCTGCTAAATTTACTTTGTCTTATCATCTGTACAGGTTTTGAAGTCATATGCCAGGTCTTAGTCAAAACTGAATGATTCACGATCCTTTCCAGCAGTCTGGGAATATTAATAGTACTCTTGAAATGAAGTTGGCATAATGATTTGCCATCATTTAGGCCTTAAAATAGATTTCTTGTGTATTTTTTAAATAAAGTCTGAGAGGTATGTACTATTGTGGCTTCTAAAACCCTAAAATCACAAAAAACAATCAAAACAAGAAGCACTAACATGACTTCATAACCTTTCATTACTCGTGTCCTTTACCAAAATGAGTCAACAAATCACTTGAAGCTAAAAGTAGCACCGGAGCAGTGATATCATTGCTCACTCAGGTGTCCTAAAAGCAGTTTTTAGCCACATTCTGCTGGCTGTGCGGCCGGAGGAAGTGGCGGATTGGCCAAGGTACTTTTTACATGAATCACAAACAATTTTTGACAGGAGAGAGCACTATAAAGAACCCTGTCAGACCGCACAGAACATCATCCGGTCAACATGGAGCTCACAGCTGTGGTATTGCTGATGATCGCTGCACACGCTTTAGCAAAACCTATTTCAAGTGAGGAGAAAGACGAGGTGTTATTAGCTGAGGTAGGGAGAGCATTTGTCTGTGGGATAAATCTTTGCTTCTTCATTTTCTGTTCTTTAAATTGTATTCATTTATTTCTTTTTTTAAGAAATATCTTCGAAGGTACTATGGCATGCCAGCTGGTCTACATGG